CGTTTACATTATCGCGTATTAGCTGCTTAGGTATTTTGGAATATGTCTGACAAAGATAGAACGAGTCCACACCAGAATGTCGTCCTCTGCAGAAATAATCCCTAATTATATCTTGATTTAGACACGCAACATCGTCAAATATCATTATCGAATTTTTGCTAATCTCCTCTAGAGTTATTACGTCATCCTTATCACTATAAGCATTATACTTAATGCCTTTAATGGGTTTAAGTACTTGTTCCAGATATTTATACTTCGGCTGCTCTAACGACTTGGAGTATACATATACATTTTCAAACTTCAGACCATTCGCTGCTTCTAATAAACTTATCATCGCATTCGTTTTTCCGGATCCCGATGGTCCACAGATGACCGCTCTAATTGAAGCCGGAAATAATGAGCCGTGTTTCCCCGACACTTCCGATTCAGTATACAAATCATGATCCTCAACATGCAATTGCTGAGGTTGCTTCATAAACTTCATTATTACTCGATAGTTTGAGTTATACTGATCAGTTCATGGCCGATCGCCGAGTAGGAAAGGGGTTTATAAACACCTTGATAAACAAATTGCCGGTGGAACTTCATATCCCCGGATATCAATACTGCGGACCGGGAACCAAACTACAGCAGCGTCTAGCTCGGGGTGATCAAGGAATAAATCAGTTGGACGCTGCATGCAAGCAACACGACATCGCATACAATCAATTCAAAGACGTTGAGAATCGTCATCGGGCCGATAAAGAACTTCAAATTCGAGCTTGGGATCGTGTAAAGGCAAAGGACGCTAGTTTTGGAGAGAAAGCAGCAGCATTAGCCGTAGCTGGAGCAATGAAGGCCAAAAGGAAGCTTGGCATGGGAGTAACACGACGTATCGCAAAGCGCGGGAAAAAGAAGAAGACTTGTTCGTTTAGAGGCGGAGTTTTAACGCCAATTCGAAATTCAATAAAAGGCCTATCATCATCGGCAAACTTGAATAAACTTATCAAAATAAGTTTGTTGGCCGCCAAGAAAGCGGTTAAAGCTGCAGGCGGTAAGCAAAGAGTGAGAGTGCCGCGAGTGATACCAATACCTAAAGTCGGAGGTTTTCTTCCGTTCCTAGTACCGCTCTTTGCCGGTCTTTCAGCTGCGGGCGCAATGGCCGGTGGAGCTAGCGGTATAGCTAAAGCAATTAACGATGCGTCGGCCGCGAAGAAGCAGCTGGAGGAAAATAAACGGCATAACATGGCAATGGAGGCCGCCTCGTTGGGTAAACAAGGCAGTTCGCTGTATCTTCAACCGCGTAAGACTGGATACGCCTTATATTTAAAACCATATCCGGCAAAAAACTTTTAAATTTGCCGCGAAAAGCATTAACGGACTCGGATCTTGTAAAGTATGCGAAAGACGTACCCTTCTTCAGAGGAGTGTTTATGCGTGATAAATTACCGCGAAAACCCCATTTAAACGAGTGCGCTATCGTAAACCTGGATGATGCTAAAGGAAGAGGTACGCATTGGGTTGCTTTCAAGAAACGCGGCATGAAGGCAGTTTACTATGATAGCTTCGGCGACTTGACGCCACCAATAGAAATAGTTAAATATTTATCCGGATGCAACATCATATACAATTATACTAGGGAGCAAAATTATAATACGCTGATATGTGGACATTTATGTTTAAATTTTCTGTATAATAAATAATAATTGAACCTAGAGTTTGTTTACTTCATCAGTCATGTCTCAAACGTTCACCTTAACAGGTGCCGGCAACGTCCTCAGCACCTCATATTTTCCGCCGATCGAACTAGACCGCAATTATCAATATGGATTAGGGTTGGTTGGCTTTTACGGCTGTAATTCTATACGCAATATATTTGAGGGAAACAACAAATTTTACTATGCAGCGGCCGATAGCATCTTCAAAGAGATTACCATTCCGAGTGGCGCGTATGAAATTGAAGAGATCAACAGGATTCTACAGCATCATATAAACGAACCAACCAATTCGATGGACTTTATGTTGAGACCTAATAATAATACGCTAAAATGCGAAATGAAAACCATACACGATATTGACTTTAGGAAATCGAACTCCATCGGTCGCATGCTCGGTTTCTCTCCTAAATTGTATAAAGGAGGTAGAACCCATGAATCTGATCTGGACGTGCAAATAATCAACGCTACTAATATACACGTCGAGTGTAATCTAACGGGTGGAGCATACAGAAACAGTGCGCTATCTCATACAATCTTTGAATTTGACGTACACGTTGAGCCGGGCTATAAGTTAATCAAGGAGCCGGCTACGATTATATATTTACCGGTACTCGCGCATCAAATAGATAACATAACCTTGAGGTTAGTCGATCAAGACGGTCATTTAGTAGATTTCGGCGAAGAAAGAGTGACTATTCGATTGGAGCTGAAAAAATATGGGACTTAAAATTTTCTGTAAGCAAGGTTCTTCATTTAGTCATCCATCGTCGGCCATCGACGCAACAATTGCTCACGGTGCATTAACCGAAGACGACGTACAGTTTTTGCAATATCTCGGCTATACAGTACTAAGAAAAGATGGAAGAAGCATTAAAAAACCTATTCACGGGCGTAAAGTATGAAGACATGATCGTGGAATGCGATCGCAGAACATACCATCCTTATACGACAAACGCTTATGGTAACTCCGATGAGATTAATCTCGTCATACAGAAAGCGGATCTCATCACGGCCACCTACGATAGCGTTATATATTTAGAAGGAACGCTGAATCCGACTACCGCAAATAAAGCTTACGATTTCACCAACAACGCGCCGCTCTTTCTCTTCGACGAAATTAGGTTTATTTTGGGTGATCAGGTGATAGAAACTGTTCGATTACCCGGAATAAACAGCACCATCAAGGGGTTTTGCTCATACACATCAGATCAAAGCAGATGCTTATCGCATGCAGGTTGGAGCCCTTCCGGGTCTCCTCAGATACTAAATAGCACGAAGACGGCTTTCTGCGCTTCCATACCTCTAAAGCATGTACTCGGGTTTGCCGAAGGATACAGGAAGCCTCTAGTCAACATCCGTCAAGAACTGATATTAATTCGTTCCAAGGACGATAGTGATTGCTATAAAGGCGAGACTGAAGTTAAGATTAATCTTACGAAGGTAACATGGAAAGTTCCGTACATAATTCCTAACGATGCTATGAAGTTATCGATCTACGGGAGGATTAACAAGAATTCGCCGATACAAGTGGCGTTTCATGCGCGCGACCTTTACGTATACCCAACCTTACCCAGCACCAGATCATTGGTTTGGTCGGTAAAAAGCAGCACCGGTTTTCAACGGCCTCAATGGCTACTGATTGCGTTCCAAACTAGGAAGCGAAATAACAAAGAAGCAGATGCGAGCGAGTTTAACCATTTAAGCATTTCCAATATAAAAGCAAACATTAACAACCGAAGATATCCGTATGAGCAGCAAAATCTGGTTTTTACCGATAACAAGTATGTGGATGCTTACGAAGAATATTTAAACTTTCGTAATCAATATTACGACTCGTCGCAGGAGAGCTCCCTTCTTAGCTACAAAGAGTTCGAAAAGCAGCCTATCTTCATTATCAATTGCACCCGTCAAAACGAGAGCGTCCATAACGTGGTGATCGATTTGAAGCTGGAAGTTGAAGCATCATCTGCATTTGCAAATGAAACTATCGCTTACTGCGTTATTTTACATGATGCATTAATCGAGTATGAACCGTTCACCGGCATCGTACGCAAAACTTAATTATAGTTCACGTAAAAGTGTAATTAAACTTTATATAAATGAAGAGTGTCAGTTTTGACGAATCAAAAAATAAAATTTATATCTTGCGAGTGTGGTCCTATGCTCACAGAGAAGCAAGAAAGGGTCCGTGGGAAACTGTCGCATTAGATAGGTACCGCTTCAAATGTAAAATAGAACGCATTGCAGCTGTTTTGGAGCCCATATTATGTAATCGTATTAAGATGTATCAATTGCAATAAAGTAAAAAAATGATTGATTGATTTTGGTTGTTTTATTTAAAAAAAATTACTGAATTACATGCGTATTATAAATATAATAAACGTTAGATAATGCGCAACAACAAAGTGAGCGCACATGATAGTAGCAACATGCTTCTAATTTAGGTAGAGCTGGTTCTTCTTCCACCTCGGTGACATTTTGCGATAGAGTTTTTCGAATGAAATCGGCTTTTTCTTTTCCTTTAACGTATACTTGGTCTGATGATGATATTAACTGGCGAAGTATAATTGGAAACATGTAGGATGGCGTATGACCATGCTCCCATTTAATTCCGTGATGGTTATGAATTAGCCAGGTAGCTTGCCGTTGTAAATCGGTAGATAAGCTATTCCACGGAAATGGAGGCCTGAACATAAAATGAGCAACCTGCTTGCCATTATAAATCGCCAGTTCTTTTGGTATAAATACGTTTCTTGATGTTTTAAAGCCTTGTACATCGATTACAGTCTGCACCATTATGTCGTTGAGAGAGGATTGAGTATTTATAACCTAATTTTTAATTCATTTCAATATATTCCCCCACTACCACATCCTTATTAGTCCTCCAAAAGAAAATTTTGAATCAGTATAGATTTTACAATCATGCAAGCTGCAGTTGTCGTACTGAGCTGGTTTTTCTGTATTAGTGCTAATGCTGCTGCTGCTGCTGCTGATAATGTTGACGACGGCAGCGATACAATCAGTGAGCGTGAAATCGATATGGCATATAGTCATCTCACCAAATATGGATATATAAAGGAGCCTGGTGAAGGTGAATCAACTCAAGATAATCGTACAAATATCACCGTTAACGCTTTAAAGAAATTTCAAGAACTCTATAAACTACCTAGTGATGGCAGATTAAATGCCGAAACATTACAACTCATGTCTCGACCTAGATGCGGAAATATTGATGACCCAGCAGCGTATATGACTCATCGGTATAAATGGACAAAACAGACTTTGATTTACTATATTTCCAATATGCATGACCTGCACATTTTACAGATGACGGATAAAGCATTTCAAGTTTGGGCGAACCACAAAAATTTGAAATTCAAATATAGCTCAAGGAACCCAGACATATTAATATCATTTCATACCCGAAAGCATGAGTTCGCTTCACCACCATATCCGCAATGTGCATTCGAGTTTGATGGATTGGGCAATGTATTAGCCCATGCATACTTTCCCTCCAGAGATCAGAATGTTGTTGAAATGCATATAGATTGGGAAGAACGCTGGCATGTAGCAGATGCAAATGCACCTCCCCCCGGTTATTCTAGTTATTTCCAAGTTGTCTTACACGAAATAGGTCATACTCTCGGATTACACCATTCGAGCGATGAAAATGCACTCATGTTTCCTTATTACAATTCAAATATGATCACGCTACATGAGGATGATATAGCTGGAATCCGAGCACTATATCCTAGTGATACTGCTGGTACCCCTTCACCAGAGAATAAAACTTATCATCTTTCAACGCGTATTAAGACAACTACACCTACTCCCAAGACTACTACTCGCAAGACCATTAAACCACCTGACCTGTGTACCATTCAAATCGAACACTTTTTGATTCTAAACAAACGACTTTATATGTTTTATGAACATTGGGTTTGGATATCGGCGTTAAACAGCAGCAAAGTGGAACCTGCCAAGAATCTGCTTGAGTGGTTAACGTTTCTTCCGGCATCTTTTAAACGTTTGGAAGCGGTATATCAAAAGCCTAACGGTGATGTTGTCTTCTTTAGTGGCGGTCGCATATATATAGTGCAATTCCCTAGTCTGCAACTGCTGCCAGGATGGCCTCAACCTTATAGCCACTTCACAATTCCCAACAGCCATAAAGTGAATGCTGCAGTTAACACCTATACCGGACGCACGCTTATTTATCATGGTGCAAATGAACTGCTAGATTTGGATGATTGTAGTCATCGGCCTAAAAATCGCTTAATATATGCGGAAACCTTTCCGGATATTCCGGCTAAGATAACTTCTATATTCAAATACATGGATGGATACCTATACTTTATCACCGGAAATAAATTTCATAAATATAGTGAATATACAGGTCGTGTAATTCAATCAGGTGACATTGATCTATCCTTATTCAATATTCATTGTGCTAATAAAGGCGTATTGGAGCAATTATATAATGTATTAGCTAAACTTTTAAAGTTTGATAAACATATTGAATTGTATATGCGGCATTAGGCGGATAAAAAGTTGATGTGTATCCATACCTATGAATAAATAAAAAGCATTTTTATGTTAAAAAATTATTTATTTTAACATGCTAATTTTACTAACAACCGTATTTATAAATTTTCGAGGGTGAATGTTTACAATTTCTGTTAGAAGAGTCAAGTCTTGCAAATTATCATACTTTTCCTTCCAACTGCTTAGCGATGTTAACAATTTGAGATTTTGGCATATCAATTTCCCTCTCGATAACATGCTCTCTTCGCTAGTAACACCTTCGGTATGTAGAATTTTTGCAACCTCACGCGTAAAGTCATCATAAAGACAATACATCGCATAGTGGTTGGCAACATCCAATTTTTGAGTAATTACTTCGGAAGCGATAAATATCATATCGATTGCTTGCTTGGAAAATATTATAGATTTATCTGATTCGCTTATTCGAATACATCCTCCGTCTTCTTCTTCTTCCGCTTCAAGTATTATTATTTTGGACTCGGTAAAAATTTCATGCTTGCTCCTTCTTTTAGGCGTACACTGCACCATATGTTTAATTAAGTGTTCAGTTTTAAAATTGAATATTTCTTTCCATTCGCAACGCTCAAATTGTAAATACTGGTCATCATAATGCGGAGGACATGATATTTGCACGATGGAATCGAAAAAGTACTCGTCCAGTGTAACGCCAACTTCGAGAATAATGCCTCCGTCTAAGAATAACGACCACGAAGATATTAAGGTTTCCTTTCCTATAAACATACATCTTTTGCTTCCACAATAATCGGCGTTATTCAATGCATACCTTGCTCCTCTTTCGAGGATTCATTCACCGATAATTTATCCAGCGAAAGCGATGACTTTGCATCATCTTCGCTACCCCACGAATCTTGCGATTGTTGCTGTATTTGTGCACTCATCTCGATATAAATCGATTTTTTACTTTCTTATTACTCTTATACCTGCTCTTGAAAGTACTTTTGGAGGGGATTTGAAGAAATCCATCATGCGCAGTGTATCTTAAAGGTGTAGGTATAAAACGGGGATGCTAATGTTCATTTCGGTCCTCATATCGAACGATAATGGATCGCATACTTTACAACATCGCTAGGCGAGAGGCTCAAAAGGAGTCTAATTATATTGAGACGAAGAGCGAATTGTTAAGTTTAAGTGTAAATGACTTATTGAAAATATGGATCAAGATTCCAACCGTATTTCAAAGAGATTGTGAGCTGCGGAATCGAATACGATGTACAAAACACTGGAATCAACCATGGCAGCGCACCCACATCGATGGTCCAGCGCCGTTAATGATTTATTGTAGAGATTGTATTATGGCGGAGCGCACACAAAAAACTTTGTAGCTTCATAATTTCTAGCATTTTGTATATGTAGATATTTATTATATTAATTAAAATAAAATGGTTATTACACCTTTAAGCGTCTTATCATAGCTGCTATAAATAAACACTATCGCGAGATTGCAGCTTCCCATTCTAATTATAATAACAACTAAATTTCGCACGCTGTTACTCTATACCTATAGCAGGTAGGGTTAGCTGCAGCTCATATGTGAGTATCTAACGCCACCCTCTACGCCCCTGCAATCGCGCGCCCCTTTTAGCTCAGTTGACTAAAGCGGTAGATTCGTAATTCATGTATCGACGGGCATCCGTTCATGTTAACAGGAAACTTACATCCGGTAAATTCTAATCAGCAGGAAACAGCGTCCGGTCACGTCAACAGGAAGCAGCATCCGGTAAATTCTAATCAGCAGGAAACGTACATGGCGGGAACAGGAAGCAGCGTCCGGTCACGTCAACAGGAAGCAGCATCCGGTAAATTCTAATCAGCAGGAAACAGCGTCCGGTCGTTAACAGGAAACTAACATCCGTTCACGTCAACAGGAAGCAGCGTCCGGTCACGTCAACAGGAAGCAGCATCCGGTAAATTCTAATCAGCAGGAAACGTAAATGGCGGGAACAGGAAGCAGCGTCCGGTCACGTCAACAGGAAGCAGCATCCGGTGTTGTAAACAGGATATCCTAATCAGCAGTATGCGTTTCCTGGTCCAGAAATAAACGCGGGAAACCTAGATATGACGTAAACAAAATGGCCGATACTGCATTCTGATTGGTGTGACGCGTTTCCTGATCCAACCCAAAATGTGACGTAAACAAAATGACCGATACTGCATTCTGATTGGTGTGACGCGTTTCCTGATCCAACCCAAAATGTGACGTAAACAAAATGGCCGACCGAAATACTCGATTCTGATTGGTGTGACGCGTTTCCTGATCCAGAAACACCGGAAGCAAAACACGCAAAATGTGACGTCACAAAATGGCCGACTCACGCGCTCTCATTGGCTCACACCGCACCACGTGACCACAATACTCGATTCTCATTGGCGTGACGTCACTTCCTGATCCAGAAGTCCCTTTGCTCATCTACTAACGTAATAAAGCACAAGTCATGCTCAAAAAAGCACTAACAAGGTTTTTCTAAAATTGAATAGGCACTCATTTTTGGATGAAATTATGTGAAATCCTTTTTCGCCGCATAGGTACCTAAGGGTGGGCCTAACGATCGTGCTATGTAATGCAATACACAAAAATTATGGATAAGGAATCAAAACCCGCGGAAACTGTAGGCTAAGTATTCAATATGTGAAGTACATTTAAACTGTCCCCCAACAACAAAGCACGGTTTTCAAATTCACATTTTCTTCCATTCTTAAGAGTGAAGGTCTGATATTCAATTGACATCAAAGATTTTTTAAGCTTTATTCCACATTTTAACTAGAATGAGGTTCCACAACGTCAACGTAAAAAATGTAGCCCGCATTATTTTGAATTTGTATAATTTAGTGCCCCTTTTTTTAGAATTGACCTTTTAGTTTCTTGTGTTCCACACGGAAGATGTAAATACTTTCTCCGCAGATTGGATTTATTAACACGCTCTGTTCCATCCTAAAGACGCAAAAAATAAAATTAAATCTCTACTTGAGTCAGATGAAGGTAAATAAAAGGTCAACCATCCTAAAGCTCAATACTTTCTTTGTATTTCTTTAGCATTTTCTCTTACTTCTATAAAATGTGTCCGCATTTCCTTGGTATATTTTATCCTCCTCCAAAACTTCATCTATTCTCCCCAATTGTCCATATATATGTCTTCATAGTTTCATTGTTCCCAACAATTTCTTCTAATTTAATTTTTTTTCGTTTCGCACAATTTTTTTCATCTCCAAAATTATCTTGCACTTCCTCCATAATTTCATTTTATTTTACCAATTTCTTGCATTGACATACATTAACCCAATTTTTATTCACAGTACACCCTTTTACTTTCCGGAATTCCTCCACATTTTCCTCAGAATTTCATTCTATTTTGTCAACATTTCCTTATAGTCTTAGAAAATTTTATGGCTTCATTCTTCTAGATCCCATTGTTTTCTATTGCCGTAAGGTTATATTGAGATTTTGTTGAATTCAATACTTTTTGGTAGAATTTAGCGTTTAACGTTTAACTCCATTAATATACGACCAATCAGCTTGGTGGTTGTTTCAAATTCTAACCAATCAGATGATTTTTTAAGTGATTAAAAGCTAGTTAGCTTTTTATCGGCGTTAAAAATGCGTATAGGAATGCGTAAAATATACAGTGGTTGTGAAATGTACTGTCTTTTATTAATTTCCCTAAAATACACTCGATCTTTGTTTTAAATCAGGATAATTTTATTTTTAATGCACTCAAATTTTGTTGCCTCCTGGAAAAACTTTTCCAGCTAAAGCTGTCGCGATTTTATCATGCTTTTAGTCTCGAGCTTTTTCCGTTGCAACAAAACTTTCGTTTAAAAATAAAATTAAAATTATCGGTCATGTAGAAGTTGTGTGTAGTTCATTTTTAATGTAACTAACGTAAATAATTAATAATTGTGTTGTGTAGCCAAGAGCCCGAGGAGTAATTATTGTTGAATAGTTCAGGTCTTGCTAGCTTCTACCAGTAGCTAAAAATTTTAATCTCGCTGTTAAGCCTCTAATGGGAGGAAATGGCTTGCTGCATTAATGTGTTTTTTTTCTTAATCAAAGGGATGAAAATAATAATAAATTAAACTTAAAAAAGGTAAGGATTATTTTAGTTATGATACATAACGTAAACTTTGTGTGGTGCAGAGCACATGGTAGATATTAGAGACGCGTATTATTTTTTTTCTAAGCTCTTGTTATGTTGTTTAAAGACCGCGATGTTCAATCTTTTTTTCTAACCTAAAAATTTTTATACAGGTCCGGCTTTATTTTTTTGTGTTATTTTCAGGATGACTTGGGAGATGCCTAAATAAATACGAAAGAGTACAGGGAAGTCGCAAATATCGCGATTTCTCGGACGAAGTACTGGATAGAGCACAGAAATAAGAAATAATAAATTGTCATTAAAAGCTAGTATGAAAAGTATGGCATCCCCAAATCGAGCTTAGAAAGGAATCATACTAAAATTAGAAACAAGTTGTAAATCAGCATATGCATGATTAAAGCGCATTTTTGGTAATACAGGTCAGTATTTTATTAACGAAGTTTAAAATTATCGATCTCACGAGTAATTTTGGCTGCGTTAAATAATTAATTTTATTTAATTTCAATTGACGGTACGTCTTCATTTTGTAAAACAAATCGCAAAGTAAATAATAAGTTTTTATACTGGTAGCGCTATCTAATGGTAAAATTATAGTACCTCCGAAACCCATATCGAAATTATTTTCTTCAATTATCGATCTCACAAGTAATCTAACTCAAAATAGACTAATGCCTGCACATCTACACTATAGCAGAAAGCTTTTAGTGAAAATTTGAAATCTCTAGCTATTGTAGTTGTGGAGATCTAACGCGGACAGCCGGCCTGCCAGCAATGACGAATATAATAGCGTATTTTTTTCAAAAATGCGCTAAAAATTCTATTTTCTTTTGCTGTTTTTTTTATAAGGGTTTTATAATTTTTTTTATTATGAATAGAATTTTATTTTCCTTTGTAATAAGATATTATATTGTGATTACATCAATAAATGGTCACCCGAAACAACGGTACATCTTGGAGATACACAACCACGGATAGCGAATACAGAGTACAGGTAGAGCAGTACCTACTTACGCTAAATCCGAGGCTAAATCTATTTGTTGAATAGGTACTATACAATGACGCTGCGGGGCCTCCCGTACCCGGGGGCCCTGGGCCCGGGCCCGGTGGGCCCATGCCTAAGGATGGCACTAGATTGGTGTCATTATAAACCCTCTTAGAATATGGGGAGCAACGATCTGCAAAAAAAGGTTTTTGCCATGTTAATTGCGTATGTTCGGTTTTAAAATGTTCACCCGGTATGGTAACGGAAACCCAGCGTACAAAATGCAAGCACATCACCACGGTACTAGTTGGGTGGCCATAGTTAATAAATCGCAAGTCTAACGGCATTTAATGAGCCATTTTGGAAACGTGCATTTATAAGGGTAAAAATGTCTGCTGAACCCGAATTCGGATGTTGCCAAGCTGATTTTTGGCTAATTTCAAAATGGCGGCCAAATATATAAATTTTTATGTCAGACGCGTTTTACTTAGTTTTTCGGATTGAAGTGTTAAAAAAACATACAGGAGGCACAGAAAATTGCAAAACTTATATATTGGGTACATTATACAGACAACACGGTAACAATATAGAGATCATTCTGACGGCAAATGTATTACCTATATTTTGTTCAAAAATTTTAACGGAATTTCTTCATCATTCTGCTCATTTTTTTTACGATTGAAGCAGTCGCCAAGACACTTGTAGATATTTGTGCACTTTTAGTTCATAGCATAATTTATTTAAAACCAAGTTTTTAGGAGGACTAGTCTGACCATTCGATTTTTCACTGTCTCTTATCGCATTTGCGAGACAATATGTATGGTACAAAATGTCCCCGGCAACCGCATCATGAGCACAGCATTGCCAATTCACGAACTCCGATCTATAACTCTGATAAAGAATCCAAATGCAAAATTTCATCATAATCGGCGGTCTATTCGTTTTCGAGGTATCGTGCTAATGTCTCGGGATCTCGGGACAGATGGACAGGCACCGCAAAATTATAAACTCTCTACGTCCTAGGAGATCGTCAATAATTTGAAAATGTTGGTTATTTACAATATTTTTGCTATAGTGTTTTATAAAGAATTTAATAACCTGTCATATTATGTAATAATACACAGGGTGTTCCATATCAAAGTCACATTTTTGTTATCATTAGAAAAATGCGATGTAGTTTTATTTTTTTTAATGCAGATTTGAATTCATTGAAAAAAATACGAAAAAACCTTAAATACTTACCAACGGTTATTAAGAAGTACAAAATTTAATAACAAACAAAATTTGCCGAGGAAAATGTAAAACACTAATTTAATTAATTCACAGCTTTTTTGGGACACCCTATATATCACCACAAGATATATTTTCCTACATTTTCCGAACTAGCTATGAAGTTAATTAACCAACTCTTACGTATATATGTATAAGTAATAAATTATGGAAAACAATTTAATACTAACTAGTACAATATATAGTGGCGCCATCGTGCTGTATTTGTGAACTAGTGCAAAATTCGGCCTGGCAACATCCAGAATCGGATTCATCTAAAAAACCATGTGGCCAAAATGGCTTATAAAATGCCGTTAGAACTAAGAAACAGAGTCGTTTTTCTATTTGGCCACTTAACTATACGGCTCAAGTGACTAGGCGCATGCATTGATCGGTACGCGAAATAGCAGAGTGAGACATCAACGAAAAAAAGAAGTTTTTAAAAAATCCGAACGGTACCAATTGTGAATCTAAACGATTCGGGGACACAGAGCGACCCATAAAAAATGTCATCAAGATCCGTGCAGCCGTTTAGGAGGAGTTGAGTTACAAACATACGTACAGAAGAATTTTATATAAGTTTAAAGATACGAAACATAAACTAAATAGTGCTACTTTACCTAGGTTTCCACTATATAAGAATTAGAAATCCTTTTACTTAAGAATCAACAGATTTTTACGATTTTATTTATAACAGAATAGTTATATTCAAAGAAACAACTACCTTTCAACCTCAACTGGAAAAGCCACTTACTGACCAAGCGACCCAAATGAGATAGCAAACTTATTAGATTTTGCAACCACCGATGGTATAGCTAGCAGATATGTAAAGACAGAAGCTAACCAAGACTTATCTTCCGATCACTCTCCAGTTATTATAACCATCACCACAACAATTACCTATAATCAAAGGAGTCCCTTAATTCTGTAGTAAAAATACGGATTGGGACCACTTCCGTAACCATCAACTTGACGCAAATATTACCCTGTAATTAGAATTAAAGGACCCCAAGACCTGGAGGTAGCAACTCAACATCTAACTACTATAATACAGGCCACCACATCAATAATAGCAAAAAAACTCTCCTGAAACCAACAACATTCCTTGCCATCTCCGAGATATTATCATGGAGAAGCGTGGAGTCAGAAAAAAGTGGCCGAAAAAAAGAAGCAGATAAGACAAAACCTCCTATAACAGACCTGCTCCACCATACGCTAAGGAAAGCCCGCAATGATTCTTTCACTGAATGTAACTCCAATATCTCCCCTGATGATCACACTGTATGGCAGACAACAAAGAAATTTAATACGCCAATCGTAGCTGTATCACCAATTAGAAATGGTGACAACAGCTGGGCCAAGACCGATAAATACAGGGCCAAGCACCTTGCCAATGTATTCACGAATCCACCCCCTATAGAAACAACGATGGTAAAGGAAAGGAATTTAAGAGAAGTTCCAATTTCTTTCCACATATGGTACGAAGGTCTTAAGACTGACCTATTTTTGGACCAGTAGAGGTACGCCCAGATAATAATGACTGCTAAGCCTGGAAAACCACCCAATCAACCCTAGTCCTACAGACCATAATAATTGGAAAACTTTTACTTAAATAATTTTTTCTACAGGTTATCGAGTTCGAATGTTACATTAATCGTCCGACCTTGCGTTATGAGCTGAATTATAGACATTATTTTCTTGGACCGATATGTGTTACTAATACGATGAGTCGTGTTGTGTGTCGTTTTTGATGTTACCATAAACCCCTAGGAGAAGGCTTGGTAGTATTTTATATCTATTCGGTCTTGGTTCCTATGAGTCTTATAGTTAAGACCGTCGGAAGGTAAAATACTTGGTTTACCATTATATTACAGAGATGGATCCCCACAGAGACGTGTCATTAATACATTTGTAAAATGTCTGCGAGGGTGTCATATATGTCTCAAGGGATGTGTCTTTCCTCTCCGCGAAATAACATAGTTACAAATAGGGTTTCATTAATGTCTTATATAGACCTTTTACGCACGTTTCTGAAAACTGCGATATATTCATCTTTGAGACGTGGGTTATAAACCATTGAATGGTTATTACTTTTACCTTTGTAAAGGGTTGAGTAACAAACTAATAACACAGTGACAAGGATTCCAAGGAGCAGGTCATCAGTGTAAGTTGACCTGCGATAGTGTTGTCTTTCAAACCTTAAAGTAGAGGCGACCCATTTTCAGAATCATCAATAAATTGACCAAAACGGCGAAATTCAAAGAAACTCACCGAATCGCGTAAACAACAATCCTGACGTGATCGTTTAATAAAAAATTCAAACCAAAATCGTGTACGTCAATTATTCTAATTTATTTACTATCGTGGTAACCGAAACCGCATTCAATTATCAATAATTTAAGAATTTATTGGAATCATTTCTTCCCCTACTTAATTATCCGGGCGACCGCAATGTGAACAGCTTGTAAATATATATACGTACACAGAATTCGGGAGCACTACAACAATCAAACACGCTATATCATTAGTAAGCAGCAACCACTTTACCGACCCAAACGGCAACCGTTTCTTCCCCATTGTACTACCCTTTCGTCCCTCCACTTGAAATAAATTATATTCTAAATACGCCATCATAAATCAACGATACTTTAATGATTTTATAGCTTCTATTCAAAATGTAAATGTCCCTCTGGAAAAGGGTTTTAGCACTTTACGATTCCCTCCATCTAAGAGGTTTTTATGTACACGTAAATTACATTAACCGTAATTGGAACACCTTAATTTGAAAGTTGGGGATTAATTGTGTAAGGCCAATTCATTATAATTGATTATATTAGCAACATTTTTTCGTGATTAATTTGTTAACGTTGTAAGATACTTTCTCTTTATGTTTAATTGTGGTTACTCGTCTGTTATTTCCTGCGTGTGCATGTAGTTCGATTTTAATCGGAAACGAAGCATGTAATGGAGATGTAACCGTCTTACATAAGAAAGTAAATTTTCTTTTATAATTGCCCACTTCGGTGCGTTCTTTTATTTTATTAATGGAAATACGTTGCAACTATACGAAAATGGTTCCAGTTTTTCTTCCTGTACTTTCTAATAGACCGAATACAATTACGAGATAATTCAGTTCAAGAGAATTTTAAAAACCAAGAACCATAGTTTGGAGAACCAACCAAAGGTGTGCTTTCTCTCCTACTAATAAAACAAAAAACGGATAGTTTCCCTCATCAGTACCAATCAGAGATGGAAGAGGTAGGGGAAACGGCTAGACTGCGAAGCTCGATTGGGTCACGACCACAACGCGAACTCAATTTAGTCAAGGCCCGCTTCGACCAGTACACTAAACAGGCGACTCGATGTGACTTGACTGAACCCGAGTAGACCCGTCGATCTTGCGAACTCGGGTCACCCAAAAGCCCGACTTTTCGATCCTCATTCATCCAGGATCTTCATTGTAGGGAAATGTGCTTGTGACATGCTTATAGCGTCTCCAGCGAGTCGAATCAGCGAGGTGAATCGAGTTCGAGGAGTAAGAAACTAGTTTCTAACGAAACAAACGGGTTTTGAAACTGTATTGGATCCAAATAAAAAAACAAAAGGTAATTGGGACCAATTCAGAGGAGGAGAACATACATACCAATTATGACGTACAAAGTGTCACAACGAACCAAACCTCAGAAAACTAAAACCATTGATAACCTAATCTCTAATTGTCGTTTAAAATCTTTAGAATCGGTATGATTTAACTCGTGTTTTTTAAAGCAGTATTTGTGAATTGTCTCGTAAACACAATGAGTACATTTTAGTGTACAAGGATCTGATTGTTAACCTTAACATAATCAGAAATAAGGAAGCGTATATCTTTTGATTTGTATTACACAAATTCCTAGCGAGATTTTAAAAAAGCTCCTGGGAATTGAACTTAATTCAAGATCTAAAAAATTTCTTAGTATATTCCCAAAGATTTTCCATAAAAATATGGACCAAATTTGATATGTTGTGTTTAAGTGGTGGGGCGTAAAAATTTACCTAAATAAAGAGTTATTTTGCAGTTTTACGGTTATATCTTGTAAGTGACTCACAATATCCAAAAGAGCCTATTAAAAGTTTTAGGTCATTAAATTCTGCATTGAATGAGACCAGACGCAGATTTTTTGGACCACCCATTCCCATACTACTGCTCATCGAAGTTGAATAAATTATACATATCTCTGAAAAATGTGATACTTAGGTACACACTATACTAACCATAGCATTGCATAATGTATTGGGGTAAAAAATGGCGCCCGACGGAAATACACGTTTTGAAGCACCAGGAAACCGAATCAAACAAAATCTCGAAATTTGGTACACATATTCTTAGTGCTAAAAGGGCAGAATCGTACATTCTCAGGTGTGCAGGTGGTATCTGTGCTAGCTACAGCAGATTTTTTTAATCGATGAGAAATCACGCTTTAAAATCTGAAAAGTTTAAAAATTAAAAAAGGCCCAAAAAGGTTTAAACTAACGAATGCATGGCTCAAAATGGCCTGCACAAATTTATATACATGATACAATAACACGATCTTGATTGAAACCAAAAGCTTACATTTCCTCAAGCTCAAGCGTTATTCTCCGGCATTCGTTAACAATTCCTTGTCGGTAGTTCTACAAAATTTTCGTTAGGACACCCTGGATGTAGATTCCCCAAGATGTGCAGATCTCCTTCCAAGAAGTCATTGCACAATATTTTTACCTATTCTTTAAATCAGGAATCCTGTACAGCCTTAAACGTCTCTCATTACGACTATATAATCAACAAAAAACACAATTAATAGTTTTTACCATATCAAACAACAGCAGTAAATAATAACTCAACTCATAATTAGATAATTACTAATTATACACTAACAAGTACATGTTAGTTAGCATCTGAACGATGTGTTTTAACGATTTCATTTTAATAACTTTATATTATTATCGTGACAATCTCGAATATAAAGATTTTTTAAGATATGTGACAATACAAACGGACTGTACCAGTAATTTCTATAATTTTCAAAGAAACCATCTTAAAGTAGTGTAGTTCTGCACCTGATCATCAGGTTACTTCGTTTTATATTCCCCCAGAAACTAAAAATGCAGTAGCAACAAGCAATTTGTAAGATTGTGTCTTTGCGTCTCGAAGTAGTCTCTAACAGCAATTCGCCCTTTTACCAAGCCTTGTAACAGAACTTTAGAGTTTCTGAAAATCGAGTATAGACAGTTTTAACGTCTAGGTACAATATGAAGTTTACCTATTTCAGGAGCAGCTACTGGTATTGTATTGTAACCCCGTGATTATAAACAATACTATTAACGATACCCTTTTTACGATTTTGCATTTTATGCTGCTCGTAGCGTAATAAAAAGTTACAAAGTAATAAAACAGTATAAATCAAACAGGCACATACAACAAATATAACATTAGAGGTGTCGTGAAGTTTGTTCATTATGAAGAGTGGGACATTATTCACAATTAAGAAAATTACAGCAGAAAAACAGTGATAAAACGTATAAAATTACTACTTAATTGTAACTAAAGCCATTTAATAACCTTTGTGTGACTTAAGGGTTGCGTGTTTAATCACCATCTCGATCGCTGCGCCACCACACTGCAGAACAATTGAAAGCAACCGCCGGAAGTGTTTAGAATTGCTTATCTTTGATACGTAATTTATGCTAAACTATCCGTAAGTGCTTGCAAATTACTTTAAAACTGCTAAAAGGAGAAAAATTGTGCAATCGCGCTTTGTGAGATGCGCGAGACAAAGGAGAACGCGCTGGCTTATTGTTAATAAAAATTAGCGTTTCGTGATCGCGAGATAAATATATTGTAATCCGGAAATTCCACAAGCAATTAGTTAAAGCTAAACAAAACTAAAATCTCATATCCGGCCTCCATTTCAACATTCACCATGATTATTTTGTTTGTGAGCTGGAATGTATTTAAATATTCGAGCGGAGATAAATTAGAAAAACTGTCCATGAATAGAAAATATAAACAATATAGTTGTATAATTGTCGTATTATATTTTACACAATGACATGCCATTATGAATTCATTTACGTAATACTAAATTAGTTACAGTCAGGTAAATAACTTAATTGTTCCCCCATATGTTATATCATAACTAGTACTTATGTTTATTATACCCACACCACGTATCTATACAACTTCCTCGAATTTCATAAAACATTATTTTCTGCACACGGAATAGATATTGTTTAATAATTTACATTTAAATGCTCGCAACGATACGCTCGGATAGGATAGCGTTATTTGTTCCTATCGATGTTAAACATTGATTATATCGACATTTAATAACATTCGTTTAGTTAGAACTAATCGTTTACCGTTTACGGTAAGAAAGCAAAGAAAATTTGATTACAATATAAAATTACATGAGTGTTCTGTGCAAGTTCAAGAAACGAATAGTGGAAAGGCGTCAATGCAATTTTTAATTTTGTTAATTACAATGTTTTGTGTTAGTTATAGTACAGGAAAATAAAATTTCTCAAATTTTGCCATGCGTGTGCCACTATATAGCTTTCATTTTCTCAATGCATCGCTAATTGCATTTAATTGAAAAATTTCGTTGTCGGTTAGCTACTTGATTCACAAATTACCACTAACAAAATGATCACTGAACAAGAGGACTTCAATCTAGACGAAACTAATTCACATTACTGCATTGACGAATACCACAACACATTAGCCATAAAAATTCACATAAAATTCTCATATATAATACCATAAGTAGTCGAAGTACTGTCGAATATTTTTGAGGTGCTGTCACGAATGCTAGTTACGCTGATTAATACCACGAGCGCTTGCGCGAGTGGTATTAAAAAGCGTAACTAGCATGAGTGGAGCAGCAGCTCAAAAATAATCTACAAATACTTCGACTACGAATGGTATTCGGAGGACTATTCAATGAATCAAAAGAAAAATTAAGCATAATTACCCGCGCGAATGTATTTCCATGACAACAATAAACGTCAAAATAAATTACGGAAGTTGCTTTTCATTTTGCTATTGATTTTATTCGAACTTTTGTGCTCCAAGCTAATTCGTTATGAGTGATTAAATTAAAAGATGTGGTGATAAGTCGGTTGTCGAAATTGATTAACAAACTAAGAAGAATGTTCCGGTTAATACGAAAAAAATTCGCGACATTTCACTGGTGGAAGTTTGACAAATGTCATTGAATAATCGCATTGAATTGTCGCTGAAATACCACACGTGAATTATCGCTGAAATACCACACGTGAAATTATCACTATAATTCGTTCCCATTGGTTCAACAATTTGAAATCTCGACATTTCACTGGTCGAAATGTGACAAATGTTAAATGAATTGAATAGTCTTAATTATAACATGGAGAATCAGTTTTTGGATGGCGGACAGTAGTCGCTAGTGACAGCAATACAATATTTATGAGTGACGGAGTGACCTATTCCAAGGAACATTCAGTATTAAATTCTACACAAAAAATGTTTAGGGTAGGTATTTTGTGTACGGTTGACTTTTAACATAACAATATTCGTCTTTGAAATAAAAATCTCAGAGCTGAGATGGATGTATTACAATTTTCTTAACAGATCCAAATACACTGAGAAAAAGGTTTATTTATAATTATTAAAATTTATTTACTGTTAATAAAATTAATCGGTTATCAAATAGGTAATACTTTATTGTTAAATAATTGTTTGTTAGTTTGTAAATATGTGTAACTTTAACTTGAAAACTTGAATTTCTAAATGCGACTCGACCGCCACTCATTTTTGATCGCCCGGTATATGTAGTCCCCACGATGTTAAATGGTGATTTACTCAAGCGTAGTAGGCACATATTGCAGATTGGATGGTATAAAGAAATAAACTTATGTGATATGATGATAAACAAAAATTTCCCAAATAAACATTTCTTTTTTATTAAGCTAAGGGTTTCTCTCAGTGTACAGGGTGGCTAAATAAGAATGCGAGGTACTGTACCTGGGAACCTGTCCATCGTAGAGGCTTGCGGTAAAAAAATTCATTACTAAAACGGCCACGAGAAAAACCTGGAAAATATTTTTAAGTTTCTGAAATGACCGCTAGGGGGCGTAACTGCAATCTGGAATCTAAACAAGTTGTATATCAGCATATGCATGATTAAAGCGCATTTTTGGTAATGCAGGTCAGTATTTTATTAGCGAAGTTTGAAATGATGGATCTCACGAGTAATTTTGGCTGCGTTAAATAATTAATTTTTAATTAATTTAATTTCAATTGACGGTACGTCTTCATTTTGTAAAACAAATCACAAAGTAAATAATAAGTTTTTATACTGGTAGCGCTATCTAACGGTAAAGTTATAGCACCTCCGAAACCCATATCGAAATTATTTTCTTCAATTATCGATCTCACAAGTAATCTAACTCAAAATAGACTAGTGCCTGCACATCTACACTATAGCAGAAAGCTTTTAGTGAAAAGTTGAAGTCTCTAGCTATTGTAGTTGTGGAGATCTAACGCGGACAGCCGGCCTGCCAGCAATAACGAATATAATAGCGTATTTTTTTCAAAAATGCGCTAAAAAGTGATGTTTCTGTGAATTCTGTTACATTCCTCTATACCTCTAATATTGCTTCTAATATTTGCTCTATTCTGTACTTGCAGCCTAGATATAGGTGCATATATACCTGATAATAAATTGCACATTAAATTACGGTGAAAGGGAACGATTTCGCACTTACAATAAACGGTTTAAATATTTATACCATGGATGATTACGAAAAATAAATAAACAACGCCATATACCTTGAAAATAGAACAAAATAGAGTCCTAACAAAAAAATTGAACTCGCTCCGCTCAGTCTCAAAGTGCAAGCGACAGTGAGGTACCCCATGGATGTCATCACAATGCGTAATGTAAAACCGTTTTAAAGCAATATAGACAACTACCCGACAAATCCAAATGACCAAAATTTAATTAGTTAATTCCTTGACCATATTCGCTACCTATTACTGAAAACAGAACTGGAAAATTCGAAATCGTTCGCGAGTTATCATGCACACAGACAGACGGACCGAAAGTCCAAATGACCAAAACTTAATGAAGTATTCCTTGACTATTATAGTCTACTTATTATTGAAAACAGAATTGAAAAATTCGAAGTCGTTCGTGAGTTAATAAACAACGATTTTATTTTGCATGATACAATCATTATTAATAAGATTTATTAAAATATTTAGTTTATTAATCACAACTGAATTTCTTAGTTTCTAAAAAAGGAAAATGGAAAATATGGAAGATTTATGATAAATAAATTTTAGCTAAATAAATCACTTTCTTAACTACAACCAGACTTTTTTATCAGTGTATATGGAACTACATAGACGGGAAATAGGTTGTCAATTGTAGTGTCCTAGGTGCAGATGAAGCCTTAGAGCACTAAAACCAGAGCTGGGCAGAATACTTTCAAAAAGTATTTGAATACTAAATAGTAAATACTTTACACAAATCAAAGGTATTTGAATACTAAATACTTTTGCGTCCAGCACAAGCGAATACTAGATACAGATACATTGAAAAGTATTCAAATACTTAAAAAAATAAGTATTCAAATACTTGTCACTCAAATACATTAAAAATTTAAAAGGCTTAATACTACTTAAAAAATCAAGTTATACTTTGTATGGGGTTAGCTTTTTTTATATTTCTACTGTTATATACAAATTTAGGGGGAGTAAGAGCGTATTATTATTATTATTATATAGGAGGTACCTACCAGGACGTTTCTTATACCAGTTATATCCTTAAGAATACGTCTAAAAAAATTGGTTGAGATCGAGATCGATCGAGAGTCCATAATTTCAAACAGTTTGAAGATTGGGTTACTAGATCAAAAGTTACAGCCCTTTATATTTTTTTTCGAAATTTGTCTTTTGTCCATAACTTTATTGAGAGGTCTAATCGAAAACGTACGAATTGTTTTGGATTCTACGCACCAAAATTAATAAGAAAAAGTGTTTTCCCGAGAAATTTTGATGCAGTCGATTTTTGGTAAAAAAGGAAGGCCTTTTTTTGAGGCCCGCAAAAAAAAATTGTCTCAGATCGACCCGGAAAAAAAATTTTCTTATAGAATGTGGCCTGTAGAATCCATAATTTCTAACAGTTCCAAGATTGGGCTACTAGTTCAAAAGTTACAGCCCTTTGAATTTTCTTTCGAAATTGGTTTCTAGTCTATAACTTTGATTGAGAAGTCTGATCGAAAAAGTACGAATTGTTTTGGATTCTACGCACCAAAATTAATAAGAAAAAGTGTTTTCCCGAGAAATTTTGGTGCTGTCGATTTTTGGTAAAAAAGGAAGGTTATACACTGCCTTTTTTTGAGCCCCGAAAAAAAAATTGTCTCAGATCGACCCGGAAAAAAAATTTTCTTATAGAATGTGGCCTGTAGAAACCACAATTTCAAACAGTTCCAAGATTGGGCTACTAGTTCAAAAGTTACAGCCCTTTGAATTTTCTTTCGAAATTGGTTTCTTTTCTAGTCTATAACTTTTGATTGAAAAATCTAATCGAAAAAGTACGAATTGTTTTGGATTCTACGCACCAAAATTAATAAGAAAAAGTGTTTTCCCGAGAAATTTTGGAGTAGTAGATTTTTGGTAAAAAAAGGAAGGTTAAGAATTCTCGTGGTATTGTGTCCTTTGGTATTCTTTTAGTCCTTTGATATTGTCATATAATGTTAAACACCGAGAACAATATTGAAGAACATCAAAAGAATAGAAACACTAGGGATTAGCTAAGCACACTTTATGATACCAGAGAATACCATGAACATAATAGAAATGTGTTACAACACACCCTGCATGTATTTTCTTGTAAAAATTTTATATTATGGGGTTTTATAATACTGTTTGACGATCGATTCTTACTTTCTTTGTGATGCATATCTTGACTCTGATTTACATGCGTGGTATGCATTAATATAAATAAATAAATAAATTCGATAAGAAACGAATGAATGTTCAAAAAAAAAGCGCGCGGATGCGATCATTGGTATTTTTAGTTACAATGTGTGCCATGTAACAGTAGCCAAAACCAACTTTTTTTATATTGTAAATACAACACCCTGTATATTGTTGCATTTTTGGGTTCATATCATACTTATTGCCAGGAAATTGCTGTCTGACTGAATATTTCATACAAAACTTACGGAGTTGCTAAGAGAGAATTACTAAAATGGAAAAAGGAGAGTGCTTAGCGACATTCTATATGAAATATGTCTAGAATATTTTGTCAAATGCAAAAATTAAGTAAGGAATGGAGTGTTGTTTAAAATACTTCCACTACATGACCCACCCAGCACATAACGGTTTTCTGAAAAAATGACCGACCATTTTTTTTAACTCGCTACCATTTACTTATTGAATTCAATTAATCTGACTGATACAGTTTTGGGAAAGTACGGGGAGCGAAGATTGATGATAAAAGTAAACCCAAGTACCAAACTAGCAAAAAGCAGACAAAAAATGTCTACAGCCTGTTAAAATTGAAAGTTTTTTAAAAATTTTTAAAGTTCATGCTCCATTTTCTACCACTGAACTTTTGAAGGTTTAAATTGTAAAGTGTACGATAAAACTATAACACTCCGTAGGTCGGTAACGAAGCATTTGCGGACCTATATATGACTTTTAGTCAAAAAATAAATCAAAGAAAAAGCCCTTTCCGTATTTATATCATATTTAGGAACACTTTGTATAGTTAAATCGGCTGGTTGGTGATCAGGATCACACGTTTAAAGTAATCGCGACGAAAATATTATAAGATCTAAAAATGTTATAGATATTGAACAAAAAATTGATCCGCTTGATAAAACTGATGAGTATTCTTTATGTTCTTCCAGGACGAAGTGGAAACGTCAAACAGCGGTAGGTTTAGAACTGTTAGCCGAAGCCGGTAACTACGCGGCGTTCCAAAGGCTATACGGTGCACCACCCTACAGCTGTTGGTACCCGCCCCAATCGGGACCTAGTGCAGCGACACCTAGTGCGGCGGATATTTACTATAGGCAAGCGGCGGCGGCAGCGGCCGCAACCTTACAAAAACCTTTACCTTACCGCCTATACCCTCCCGGTATAGGATTAGGAATGCCAGGACCTAGTGCACACCTAAGCAACCTCGCCGCGAGCAGTTCGCTAAGTTCCTTATCGAGTTACTATAGCCAATCTGCGGAACCGCCACCGATTCGGTCACCTAGTCCTGACACACCGCTAGATCCGGGCTCGCCCGGTACCGCGGGAAGAAGGTCTCCCAGTGACGACGAGGACACTATTCATGTATAGAAACCGCGCGTAGAACTTTTATTGTGATAACCGAAAAGTGTATAAAAAGCTGAACGTTATTATTTATTTAAAGGTAAATTGCTTTTAAGTGTCGTGAGGACAACTTTGACAAAATGTTGTGTAATATTAGATGTACTTTAAAAACTACACGAGTATGTGCAAACCGCCATTATCCCTATGTAAAGTTATTTACATATTAACAGTTGTCGTTACAGAAAAAAAATTGTACAAAAGACAGCGAGAACAGATGTTTTTTTATGCCATTTTCCTTCTAATTAAAGCGAAATGTGGCACGTACCTACCTAAATCGCATTTTGGACTATTTTTTTCTTTTAAAAGTAGTCTGTGGAAATGAAGATCTTCACCTTGCTATTGATGGTCTACAAAAGTATTGTAATTATTTATCTAAAAATAGGATGTAAATGTAAAATAAATAGAAAGTACTTAATTACACTGTAATTAATTATTCTGTTCTAGTTTTCCTGTAGTAGTACTCCAAAATTTTAGTATAAGACCAATTAATAAAAAAATACAAGGGCACGTAGCCATTTACTTAGTAATAGCAGACGCGGTAAGTTTTCTATGTATCACCTGGTATATAGCGATCGAGGAACAGACTATGGATCATCTCTTATATGTAAGAGTGCTTCCTATCAAGGTAAGTTACCTACTTACTTATGTAAAATTGAAGTTTTTAATCTGAAAATATAAGGGGTTCCTCGGTCAAATTATGGAAAATCTATTCCCATCAGCTTTCCGTATAGAACCAAATTCTATACTAATGTAAGTACAGAAGCATCTAATATAGCCACAGTTTTCGTTAAATAAGTAGACTGAAAGCGCAAAGGTGTAACAACTAACCTTGGGCTTATAGTACTTATAGATTAATTATGTTTTTTTTTCTAAATTAATCATCTCAATAGACGTATGTACCTACGTTATGAAATTAGCCTTTTGTTTTATTAAATGATCGCGTAATAAAATTGTTGCTAAATGGTTTTAAAATCTTCGATTAAGTATACCATACACAAACCATTTTTCGGATTATTCTTTATACATTAAATCTTAATGCAAGATTTTCAACCGTTTTTGAACTGCAGTCGGTAGTTCCAAGCAAATGTAATAAGAATCGCGTAACATTTTCAGAAAGGGAATTTTTCGGACTCATATTCAATAGGTAGGTATACCAGTCATCCTTCAACTATAAATTTATTCACGATAAGGTTTGAGGATCGACCGTTAATAATAATAATAATAATGCCTTTATTACGAAATTATATAATGTAAATAAAATTAAAACGAAAATAATCTAGGCGGAGTTCAACACGTTGACCTGGACGTACAACTGTTGCTCTACCACTCAACCTAGTGTATCATACACATACATATAAAATAAAATTTTTTTTTTTTTACAAATCTAATATGATTGCTCACTTAATAACCTACACTTCATGTTTCAGACAGACAGACGAACAAAACGAGTACAAAAGGACATTTTTTTAAAATTTGAGGGTTTTACCTCGGTTTTTACATATTTTTTCTAATTTTGATTTTTCATCACCAGTTCCGAAATAAGTATTTTACTTTCCAACTGGTTGTTGAAAAGTAAGGTATCTCACAAAGTCAACAAGTGTCAAGTGACACTTTAAATGTCATAATTAGAAAAAAAATTATCTCTGACAAGATTTCACACTGCCCTGGCCTTGTTTATTGTTCAGTGTTAGTGTTTGTATGCTCTCATACTATATTCTAATACTATATTCGCCAGGTATTTAAAACCATTGTAGGAAAATTCTCCCGTAATACTCGCCCTAAAAATTATCACCCACAACAAAGATTCACCACGGAATACTCGTAATCGTTAAGATTTCCCCGAAACAATTGCGCGAGTAGACCAGTCATTTTAAACACTAAAGACCGATTGCATACAAGTTAATCAAAGCTTAACGGAGCTGTTAACTCATTCGTTTCTATAAAAAAAAATGACGTTTGCCTTGATTAAAGTAGTTAATTTAACTGTTAAACCCTGATTAAGCTAAAATTCGTATGCAAAAAAAAGAATTTAAACCTCTGACACAGGAGCTCATAAATAAAATGCGTACCTGGTAAAGAAACCTTACAAAAAACAAAGAGAAAGTATATTGGTGACACTATCGAGATCCCCACCAATCACGGTTGATTAGTCGCCTTTTACGACATGCAGTGTCTCTGCAGTAGGGGTATTCTTTCCCGCTCCCTACACAGGGACTGAAATTAGTGGTCTGAGACCGAAATGTGTATTTTAGTCTCGAGGGTGCAGTTTATTGCCCGAATCGAAGTTGACATTCTCGATTACTCATTCAATAAGTGATTTCTAATTTACCGCTTTTAAATTTTCTAAACATGGTCTTAGAAGTACCGCCCACAAAACTATAACATAAATTTAATAGCGTCATTTATTTATTGACGACTAATTAACAATAAATTTATAACAATCTTGAAGTGATTTGATTTATAACAGTAAAAATATTATTTATCACTCGCATATCCACAATTTATAACAGCGCACACTATTTATTACTTCGGCGTTGAAATTGGAACGGTCCTAAAACGCATTTCGATTTACTTATATATCAAACTCGATTATTCTCGAGTGCTTCTGAATGTTCTCGAATAGTGTAGAAACAGTACAACACTGTACACGTTAACTTGCTCCCTCCCCTCCCCCACCACCATAAAAATGTTTAAGTTCCACCCACAAAACTATAGCATAATGTAACTTAAATTTAAGTACGTCATTTATTTATTTATGACGAATGAATAATAAGTTTGTAACAGTTATCACTAGTTATTACTTTGGAGTTGAAATTGGAACTATCCTAAAACGCAATTCGATTTGCTTATATAGTAAACTCGATTGTTCTAGAGTGCTTCCTAATGTTCTTGGACAGTTTAGAACAAAACACATCATATTTCCCCGAAAGATTGCGTCACATCCGCCTTCGTTCTTTATCGCCGATTACTAATCTTTCATGGCGCCTCTATGTCTACCTGGATTTCTGGAATATTCGCCATAATAAGATTTTAATACGAATAGTCAAATATAAGTTTAGTTTTCCAGTGTTACATTGGAAACCAACGGAAAATTTTGTTGTTCTTTTAAAGCAAACAAATTAGTGCGCATACCTTCTGGTACCCTGAACAGTTACCTAACGAACTCTTTGTGTGTACTGTGCAACATAGCCACTTTGCGCTTTCTTATCCGAAGTAAGAATAGTCGTACATAAGAGGTATCCTCCACCGACAATTCGCTCTTGAGATATAAGGAATTATAACCGATCACGATAAGGGGACCGAGGAGGAGGAGTATGGTTGGCAGAAATTAAGGGCCGTAGTTGGTAGAAAATCGTTTCTTTCGTTGATATCTTGAGAGTACCATTCAAGAGAAAACCAATTTCTGCACCCCTCTCTCACCCACTGTTTTTGTAGAAACCAATTCCTTTCGATGAGACCTTTCATTAGAATGCCATCAAGGGTAGAAAGTGTGTTTACCCTCTTTCCTCCCGCTCCACTACAGCATTGAATAACTTAATTCTTTATTCAATGACTGCAGACATAGGTAGGCAAAGCTGAGATAAATTGGTTGCACCATGTAAAACAGATGTACGTTTTACTTCCAGAAATAGCATCTCGGGAAATAATTAATGGGGGTGGCCCCCCTCAAATCAACAAAATTTGAAGGCCGTCTGGCACACCTTCAATGTATAGGCTACCATTTGCAATAAATTCGTAATTTATAACGTACATTTATAGCACGAGCGTGGATTTCGCTGTTTATGACTCTGGCAGTGATGTTAAAACTGATACTAAACACAAATTCAATTTGCTTATATATCAAACAAAAAAATAGCAAAACAATACAGAAGTCTCGAGACTTCCATGAAATATGAATATTGAATTCGAATCCAATATTCATATTTCATGGAAATTCGCTTTCATCCGTTATCGCGGGTGCCTAATCCTTTATCCACTTGATGGCGACTTGTTGGCACCTTGATGTCGCTCTACATCGACAATAGGGTATTACATTGCACAGTCCCTGAATTGATTCTTGAGGGCTTAGTGAGATGCTGAGACGTCGTACTAACTTTTTACAAAATTATAGAAGAGCTTTCGATAAAACGAAACAGGTATTCTGCCGAAGAATATACCAGAGAAATGTTTCTTGATTCTAAAATACCAGAAATAAATAAGTATTTGTTACATTAGCATGAAATATGCTTAAAAATTATATATGTTTTTAGGCAATCTTCCGGGGAATAGGTCCTTTTACGTACTACCAGATTAAGGTATTGAACTCAATAACCTCAAAAAGTTGTAACAGATCTAAAATGCGTGTGTGATTTTTGAACATCTCTGTACTGAAGTACCATTTTAAAATAGTACCAGAAAATTCGTTTCATCGGAATTTCAGTGGTCAATATGTTTTTATGAATGGATCAAGTTATTTTGTATTCTATTTTACCCATCATCATTCAACGAAACGAACTCTTTTCTACCAAATAACGCCCTTCTCTCTTACCCCTTATCAAAATTGAGGAGCACACATTATTCTTCATGGTACTCTAATGAAAGGTCAGAATGAAAGGAATTCAATGCTACCAACTATCGCTTTCATCCACAACCTATTATCGACATCGGTTATAATTCCTTACCGTTTCTTAATTGGGAGAGGGGAAGGAGGCTAAAAACTGGTATGATATTCTAATGAAAAGTCTGGACAGCAGGAACTAATTCCTTCTGCCCTCCTCTCGAACATCTTTTCGAGAGAAGATATAATTAATTCTTCATATCTCGAGAACATAGTGTCGGACGAGAGTACACACAAATGCAAAAAGGGACGCTTGGACGAGACATATTTATTGATGATTGATGACACTTTATGCGCGAAAATCTCAAGAATGGAATGTAGGAGGAGAATACTCACCGAGAACTATTGAAACATCTGGCCAAAGCACATCTATTGGCGAAGACGGTGGAGTCAAAATGAATATCCCGTGAGCGGAGTGTCGGAGGGGGCTACTTGCAAAGACAAAAAAAAAAAAGACAAAACATATCTAAAACAATTATCAAAATATTGTGTAAACATCACGCATTACACGGGGTCTTCATAAATTCTTTACCCCGCTCAATTCGGAGAATTCGCAGAGGTGCTAAAAAAATGCATTCTATCTGCACGAAAGTTGGGCACAATTTATACTTGTTTAAAGTTCTTGGTGCTCTTCATTTGGTGTACGTTTTGACTTTGCAAGTTCTGCTTTATTTCGATTCATTAATTATTCTATTAAGGCCGTATGACACTGTACTAAATTTAGTACCAGTTTTATAAACATAATTTGAATCAAAATTTGATACAAAATTTTGAATAAAAAAATGTACTTCTGTCTGACACTATTACTAAATTTGGCAAGGAAAATTGTATTTGCGCCTGTGCTGTTTGGATTAGTATGTAGAGAATTGTGCTTATTTTCCAGCACTATATTATGTGGTTCTAGCTTCACTTCTTTTAGCACGGCTTCTATTTTATGCAAAGCATCTATACGTGCATGTTTATTTCTGTATAATGCGGATTTTGTTGCGTATAGGCAAGGGTGTTTTTGATATTCTTGAATTAAGAGTTGGCATTGTTCCTTAGACCACGACATTGATGCTCAAAAATACTTAACTTGTTTGATTATAAGGTGGCACAAACGCACGTGTATGCTATATGTTTGGTCATGTCATTACAAATAAACAGATATAATGCGTGGCAACTTTCTGCGCAGTTTTTGTATATAATTTATGCAGTTTTTAGAACACGTTCTAAATAATTTTTGCCCTCAAATTTTGTTGCAAGTTTTCTTACAAAATGCGTATGACACTACACAAAATATTGTACAAATTTTTGTCATAAAAATTTCGTACTAAATTTAGTGTAGTGTCATGCGGCCTTTACAGCAGTTCGTTATTAAAATTCGAATTCGAACCAAGAATCTTATAGTGCGACAGTCGACCAGCCACCGTAAATGGAGTCACCAAGCGAAATAGCTCAATTTAGAGAGAAATCCTGCCAGATTAAGTATTTTTCAAGTGATTTTGTGTACAAAATCCCAAAGAGATGGGTGACATTAATTGAGAAATGGTCCAAAGTAAAATGACAATTAAGACAAGAATCTCAACAAACATCTTAATAAAATATAGAGCGAAGGATCGTCAAAAATACTTAGATGGAGGATCTGGTTATTAACTTTTATTCCAATAAGTGATCCCATAATCGCGAGACTTGTTTAAATTCAATGACCGTAGGTAATTAATACCTACGTTGTTTCGGTCGTACTAACAACACAGCAAAGTTCTAAACTGATCAAAAAACCGCAAAATATTTTAAAAAGGCTTCAATAGAGACCACCGAAACCACATCCTACGCAGCTTTGTATAATTTTACTCATGTTACAAATTCCGTTAACGTAATTGCTTCCTAACAATGCAAATTAATAAACGCGTTGAGGGCTAGAATGGATGCAACCAAGCGTGCACGGTGCGCACCTGTCCCAGTTATTAATTAGAAAATTACTATCCAGCTACCACCACTCAACACCACTTTCTGCAATTTTATTTCTTTAATTTACATTTTTATTTTCCGACATCATTTTTGAGATATTAGATTATCTTAACATCTAAAACGCTTTTATACATTATGCAAACGAGCAAATGCCCGCGCGCTTACTTTTTTTTGTGAATTCAATTCGATTAACAAGATTTCGAGCCTTTGTAAGCGTAAATGTTCCCTTATGTTAATTACCATGTGCAAGTCGGCCTCACAAAAACTTTAAACTTTTATAATTAAATTAGAACGAAAATTAGATGACTCGCTAATAACGGCGTTTGTTTCCGCTCGTATGCATAATGACCGTAAATAAACGCGTTTGGATTATTTTAAAATGAATATTTAAATTTGTTTCCAATCGATTTACACCTGTTAAGAATTTATACTGTTTAGAGCACAGCGGCGCCTATAATTTACAACATTTGATGTAATATGAAAATAACAAGACACGAATCCGGTCCTGTCTGTGTTATAGTTTAGAGTGTGTCGTATTTAATTTGATAGCAAAAGCAATTCGGTTCTCATTAAGCTTCTGTAGCTTCTAGCGGAAATGAATGCTAATCTGCAGATTAATATGCAGTAATTTACATAAGCGAACGAGTTGTTGATGTAATTAATAAGTTGCAGGTATCTTGATGAAACAAAAAATACACTCGAATAGTAAAGGGTTTATCGGTCTAATCTTCATACTTGCTCCTAATTCAAAAATCTAAATTGCATATTGGTTCAAGTAGATAACGCATTTTTCCAAGCTGGTTTTGTTAAACAATTTTCAGCTATCGTTCATTCTATGCATATTTATGGCAACTGTTTGGTATGCATTTAAGCTGCGATATAAATGTATGCACAATTAGGAATTTGTATTAATTAATGTAAATGTTTAAAAACAAGGGTGAATTCGTTACAATGCTTTATTGGGGACTGACTATGTCGAGTAATTTATTACTCACCCAAAGCCATCATTATTAATTCTGCAATGAATTGAAGTACTTACCTACCTAATTAATATAACTGGCTCTGTTTGCTGAAAAGCAACTTGTGGTTCTGTTGTATATTGCTTTCAACCAAACAGGTGAATTTGTTATTGTCGAAATGGGAGTTTGTTGTAGGTGCTATGGCTAATAAACTTGAACTGATTTAATTTTTAAAAACGAACGAATTCCGTCTTCTTAATTGTTACACTTTTATCCACTAGATGATTATATGTTTAGTTTCGTTGGTCAGCCAGTAGCATGCAGCATTCCATTTCAAGTGATGGATAATCAGTTAAGAGAAGAAACGAGGATGTCAATAAGTAGGTAATCTGAAGTGTAATTACAAAAAAAGACCAACTAAAAAAAAAGAAAATGTCAGAGAGAACCATTCAACCAGACCGTGGTATCCATGGTAGTCATTTGAGGGAAAGGTTTCCTTTGAATAAACATATTTACATAGGCAGGGGTGCTGTAATGGGAACCGGGGCGGTAATTCTTCGATTTAATTAAACGCCTAGTGTTTTCTGAAAAACCGTTGACTAAAGATCATCGGTGCCAAAGTATACCTACGTTTAGCGTCTATGATTTTAAGAGGAGGTAGTTTTTAATAATCGAAAGTACATACGTGAAAACGCCTATTAAGATGTTTTTTCGTGAGTAGTCAACAAAGATATTGGTTTGAAGCGGCCCCAAGAAAATTATTTTCTTTGCCTCCATATAAATTAAATAAATTAAGAATATTAAAAGAACGGTCGATTGTAATATCGACCTGTAATTTTTCGTAGAGAGTGTTGGTTTTGTTAAGTATGTAACGTACCCAGACCAGCTCTGCAATACTGCGCAGCTCAAAATTTAAAACGAAAACTTTCCCACCCAAACTAACTGCACTCCATGGCACATGATCGTCTAGACAAAGCTGCTTAACCTGAACAACAAAATACTAGGACCACTCCTACTTGTCGGAGGGTGAAGCAAGTGAGATACAGAAATAAAACAAGCACATGTTTTTAAAACGGCAGTGTAATTGAAATAAGCAACATTGCAAGGATAAATTATGAAAATGATAGCTTATCGAGTAAAAATTGGCTAGGAAAAAAGAAATAGCTTGTAATCTTTTACAGTGATATTCATTAAGAAGCAGACATAGGGATTTGCGCGTATCGTTTTCCCTATTTCTAGTACTTTTAAATGACAAAATCTCTTCTGAAGGATCCCTGATTTTATGCAACCAAAATAACTTTTTAAATCAAATAAAGATCTGGCTGTCAGTAATATCGAATACATTGCAGTTATAGATTTTGTAGCATTTATTTTTATTTTTGTACTTTCTTTCTCAATGAGTGGTGAGTGATCGTTCATTAGTGTTATTCATACATTTGTGTTGCTATTATATTATCCTTGACAGGGCTGCATGGAAGATATATTGCTACACTGAATGCAGTCCTTTCTCACATTATTCTTATTTTATTTATTTATTTATTTTTTTGCTTTCCTATTGTTAGTTGTTTACGTGGGAATAAGTATTATTAATATATTAATTAATTTGAATATTGTTGATTTGGCTTCCGTAATATTATTTTCGTTCGTGTGCGATGTATCTGAACGAAGAGTTGATCTTGTCAATTAGTATAGTCCAAATCCCAAAGCAGGACCCCATAAGAAACTAGCGGCCGAATTTAATATCTCTTCATCATAACCTAAAAGCGCACTACTCTTTATCTATCTAAAATGCAAGGCTAAAAAGATATGAATTTTTTGTTTATTAGAGTGGGTTAAAGTCTTTATGAAATACTGAAATTCTAACAGAAGCATAAAATTTATCACACTGTTTGCTTGCAATTGCAAAATCCATAATAGCAGTGCAGAATGCGTGCATACGAGTTATTTTGGTCGCACAAAACTGAAGTCCCTTCAGAAAAAATTTTGTCATTCATCTGTAGACATGGGGAAAAACAATACACACAAATCCCTATGTCTACTTCTTAATGAATTTGACTGCATATAAAACAAAGTCGTTTATGTTACAGCACTTTATAACTCAAGAACGGCTTATTAACCGATTTTCATGATATTTGATTTGTTGGATTCGTCTTCGAGCCGAAATATGGAAAAAAACACGAAAAAATGTAAAGAGAAGTGTGTGTGGCGAAGCTGTGGCCGTACTCGTTCGGGTTGGATAACAACCAGTCAACCGCCCCCCCCCCCAAGACTCACAATACCTTCAAATATTTAAAATGTGCACAGTGTGAATTTGCAACACTTCACCAACATGTCCCGCAACGGCATCTCTTAACTCACAAAACTTCAAAGATTTTAAAATATGTACACTGCAATTTGTAACTTTTGAACTAGTAGCCCAATCTTGGAACTGTTTGATATTATGGATTCTACAGGCCACATTCTATAAGAAAAATTTTTTTTCGGATCGATCTGAGACAATTTTTTTTTCGGGCCCCAAAAAAAGGCAGTGTATAACCTTCCTTTTTTACCAAAAATCGACTGCACCAAAATTTCTCAGGAAAACACTTTTTCTTATTCATTTTGGTGCGTAGAATCCAAAACGATTCGTACTTTTTCGATTAGTCTCAATCAAAAGTTATAGACTAGAAACCAATTTCGAAAGAAAATTCAAAGGGCTGTAAGTCTGCAAACGGATTATATGGAAATGTTAAGCTAGGTGAATCTAGCCATATACACGAGGTTCGTCGGGATAGGCCATGCAACGTTCATCGGGTCTGCTGTTATCTTCTATAAATAAAAATGGATGTTTGTCTGGTTGTCTCTTATGCCTCTTTTAATCGTTCATCCGATTGCGCCACTCAACGTCCAAAAATTTGATGTATATCTATTCGGAAGGAAATTTTCTTCTCTAAAATTTTTCTTTCTTGACATTTCGTCAATTCTCGTTGTTCTCAATTTTTTTAGAGATGGTGGAACTCTAAAACAACCTTTTCGAAAAATTGTCCCGATGACTCTTGCAAATCGACAGGCTGTGGAATTTTTTTAGTTAACTAACAAATGGAATAACTTCCGAAATAGGTAACTCTATAATAAGCCCTTGGGACTCTGATTAATAAAAATCATTTATTTTGGTCAAGAAACGCATAAAAAAGTGAACGCTTGAAAGAATGTGCAAAATCTTTTTTTTGGTTGTCTAGAAAACAAGCACCAAAGTCAAAAAGCTGATTTCTCGTGAACCATTCATCTGATTCTGACGTATTTTTTTTTAAGTGCGTTTTTCCGAGAGCTTTCCATTCGCCTATTATAGACTTACATTCTTGTTATATTTCGAAAATTATTCCAAATTCTTCGGATTTTGAAAAAAAATTCCACAGTCCGTCGATTTGCAATAATCATCGGGAAAATTGTTAGAAAAGGTTGTTTTAGGGTTCCACCGAGGGTTCCACCATCTATAAAAAAATTGAGAACGCTCTGGAAGTCACAGAATTTTAAACACAAAGCGTCGTTTTTTTAACTTGTTTGTTTAATTAATCGATGACTATGCAACCTACGGTGATCGGGTTTGTCATATTATTTTGTTATCAAAAGAAGTGACCAAATACTGATTTACAAAAAAGATCGGATGAATTGTACTTAGTTAATAACCAATTATTAATTTTCGGGATGTTATATTTTTCCATAAAAATCATCAATAACATTTAAAAATAAATGTTCCGTACCAACTGTATCTTATTGAAAATTCTAAACAAATTCATTTCTCGTTATTTTTCCCTCAGAGCAATAGTTAAGAAGATAAATGAAGTCAAATGCGATCAAAAACGAGATTTTCCTATTTTTTCTTCGTTTTTTGTTTATATCAATACGTTCAAGGAGTTTTCCGCCAGGGAGCCAATTTTTGTATGAACATAGAACATTATATTTAGAAAGCCAATGCAATGCACAATGGATATTTATCATAATCTTCATCATCTATGTATCCACTTTAAAAACTTACTCAATATTAATCTTCACCTAATTATTTATAACACTACATTGCTTCATTTCATTTGTAACTAAAAGGTTGCAACTTAAAAAAAAGATATCTGTATAGAATCTTGAGGTGCTACGCAGAATATACAATGAGAGTATTAGAAGACAGGTGTGAAAGTGAAATGAGGCAATGATCGAGACGAGTTTGCTTACTGGTACATTATTCATTAACTTTTTACGAAAATGTAGTGACAAGCCATGATAGAGATGACAACTTTTTTCAACGGCGTTGTAACGCTTCTTCCGTCGTTGACGAAACTTCGAAAAAAAAAGATAAATGAATCACATTTCGAACTACTCTGATTTGTAATTTTCTTTTTATCGCATTGTCGGCGAAACCCGAAATGGAATTAACAGCGGGTTTTAATTCATCAATCAATAATGATTTCATTTTTCATGTAAAAACTAATGTACCGTTATCAATGAATGACTTTTGCTATATTTGGGTTCCCGCTAATGAGTTCTTTTGCAGTAGATCGTGCGAAAATAATCCCCGCATTGTGCTCTAAACAAAAACAAATTTATTTGTTAAACAAAAAAATATATATTAATGAACAGTTATGATTTGAATGTGGTAGCGCAAATTTGTTATGCGTGAGAATTATAAACGTTTCGGCATCGGAGCGTCGATCGAAAGAAAGGGCCTTATTGTATAAAATGAATAAAATAAAGGTGTTTCCAATTAAAGTTTATTAGACTTCCAACTGGGTGGACATGAGTACAAACCTCAATTAGGCTACCTGTGATGCTTTTTTTATTTATTATCTTCATCAATGGCGGCTACTAATTATTATTATAAGAATTTCTCACATAATACCTTTTGTTGTGTATAAGAAAATTATGTTTTATAAGAAAAAAGGCGTTCGTTTTTAACCTTTTCATTAAGCTTTTGAAAAAAAATGAACTGGGTTATGATGGATTGCAAACACTAACGACTTCTGTTCGTTAGCGATTGCTTTGATCGTTTTCTTTAAGTCACAAATAAATGTTGTATTGGTTAACAAATTACGTTAACGTGTTCACACTAGAGATAACATCGTTTTGCAATAGTTAATGTTATTACTGGTGTATAACGCACAATAACATTTGACGGGTGTGATAAATGCTATCCATTATTAAGTAATGACTTCTTTATAAGCTGTATTATCGCGATGCAACATGTTTTTTAATTGCCTTATTTATCACGAAATGCGTATTCGGATACCTCTGCATTCGCTGTAGAAAAAACACATCAATCAAGCGGTACAATTTTTAGTCAAGACCATTGCGGTAAAGTCATTTACTTCAAGTAAAAACCGCCATCAGTTAATTTTACTTTCACCTAGCGTAATCAATACCGAAATAATTCTTTGATAGAAGACTTAAGACTTAAGTAGATTACGATCAAAGTTAACAAACGACATGGACATCATTTTTATTATTTATAATTACTTTCAATTTTAAATTAAAATTGAATTAAAGTCTGTATCCGTTTATTTTATTACACCACAGCAGGTTGTAAGCAATGAAATAACATGTGTATTAATAGTTTTAACAATATTATTTTTGTTTAATTTCGCTTGCAATAAACATTTCTGTTGTTGTACATTGCCTAGGACCTATTTTTCAATGACACATGTTCGCTGAATAATTTGTCATCGCCATAGACATAACCATGAAAATTATTATACGAGGACAGGTGTAGGTAATTGCAAATTGAATAATTCTACATTTTTATCTTGTAGTTTTTTGTAATAACCTTAAACAAATAGGTATAAACGGTAATGTACTTTCAAAAAGGCACGACGACAGGTGGATTAAATTAGCACCCCAATTGGTTATTACAGTGCCAAAGTATCGAGCTCAATTGGTGTTAATTTGTGCGTTAATCTCCAAATTTTGTGCGCCTTCCGTTTACGAGAAAATCAAAATTATCTGTTGGGCTTCATGTTAATACTGGAACACCATCATTCTCGTGTCCACATGACACTACCGTAGTTTTGTGCCCATTTTGTAGTGATTTGTGCGTCTTTTCTTTCGGAGCAATTAAACATTTCTAAACGGGGTGGCAACTCAACGTAACACCCCTTATAATCGGATCGACGAAATTTAAATTCTACAAAGGGGGCTAACTTAACGCAGCGTCTGTCATAATCGGAATATGTCATAGTTTTATGTCATCAAATCATAAATAAACTACCTTATAATTGCGTATGTTTCAATCAAAATCAAAACCATTCATGTGTTGTCATTTATTCAGCAATTTTATATTCATTTACAAGTGTTATTGAACATTTTATTCTTTTAAGAAAACTTTTAGTGCTAACAAAACATTCTACAATATACAGAGTGGCCCAACGAGAAGTATACAGAGGGCTTTTGGGGTATTAAATTTAGAAATTTCGAAAAATCATCGAACACGTCAATTTTGTATTCGAGGGGGACAACTTTTGGAATACAAATCACGAACCCAAGTCTTCACCCCTCTACGTAGGGAGCTTAACCCCTAAAATTTTAAATGGAATCCTATGGCAAATGGCACATTATTTTAATAATAATAATAATAATAGCCTTTATTTCTCACACATCTTGTATATAAAATATACCATGAAGAGAACAATACAAGTTTCCAAAGATGCGGAGAAATCACACGGTGCCAATTCAAATTGGTAGTCAGCTACCTTGGTCTTCCATTGGGACCGTGAAGTCAATAACAGAGTTGTGCTAATTTGTTGCCTAGGATTAAATTCTGGGATGTCGGCCGAAGTTAAGATTAGTTCTGACGATTACTATTACTATCGTATTTTGCACAATTAATTATAATTAGGTTTTAACAAATATAGGAACATTTTTCTTTTAAACAAGGACACTGATAACGTTTTAAACTCAGGTGGTATGTTATTGTAAATTTTATAAATTTGATACTGAAAGGTTCGTTCAAATAAAGCAGTGGAGTGTTTAGGAGGAGAAATTAAACCACAAAATCTTAAATTTAAGTTGTGAACGTCCGTTCGAAAGCGGATTTTGTTATAAAGATACGCTGGTTTCTTATATAAAAGCACCTTATGGCATAGTGTTGCAAATAGTAGTTTTCTCCTGTTATTCATGTCTAGCCAGTTCAGATCACTCAACTTATGGGAGATGTGCTCAAACTTGCGTATGCCGAATATCATACGCATGCAGCTATTTTGTACCCGTTGGATACGCTTTGCCACGTCTTGCGTTATAGACGACCAATAAATTTCGGAACAATAGTTAAAGTGGGACAGTACAAGGGAGTTACAAAGCATAGCTTTTATATGAATTGGTAAGGTTTTTCTGTGCGGGAATAACAATTTCAAATTCATAATGCTTCTCTTTATGTAAGTGTTAATTTGTGTACTATATCTGAAAGAGTTATCAATAGAGAGGCCTAAGTTTTTTACTTCAGATTGGAGAGGTATGGTCGTCTCGTGCAAAGTGAAGTTGAGTTTGTCTTTTATTGAATTGATTTTGTCTTCATTCCCAAAAACTATGATTGAAGATTTTGATGGGTTTATGAATAATGAGTGCATGTGTGAAACTGATTCAATGGAGTGAAGGTCTTCATTTATTTTACGAGTAGCAGTGAAATACTCCTCTACGCGAAATGAATACAACATTTGTGTATCATCGGCAAACTTCTTCAATTTGCAATGCTTAATACATTTGTCAAACTGGTGAGTATATATAATAAACAGCAGTGGGCCCAAAATAGACCCCTGTGGAACACCTTTTGAAGTTGATAAAAAATCTGATTGAGTAGCTTTAATTTTTACAGACTGACACCGTCCAGTTAAGTAACTATCAAACAATTTCACTGCTTGACATGACAATCCAATGCTTTCCAGAATAGAGAGAAGAATGCCGTGATTGATAGTGTCAAAGGCCTTGCTATAGTCTAACAGTGCCAAGACAGAGATGAGTTTGGAGTCAGTAGCAGTAATAATGTCATCGACAGTATCGATCAAAGCTGTGGTGCAGCTATAATTCGGCCTAAAGCCGGATTGGTGATCAGGAATTATGTGTTTTGCGTCAACGTATGCTCTGAGCTGGTCATTCATTATTTTTTCTATTATTTTGGACATCACTGGTAATATGCTTATCGGGCGCAAGTCTTTAAATTCATTTGGGCGAGGTGTCTTTGGCAATGGAGTTATCACAGCTTTTTTCCAGGCTTCCGGATAAATACTTGTTAAAAGTACCATATTTATAACATGAGTAAGGTATGGTTCGATAATTGGGCAGAATAGTCTTAGGATGTTGATATTAATTCCATCGGAACCATAAGCAGTTGACTTGATACCACTTATGATTTTCGCAACGTGGCTTGTTTCGACAGTAGAGAATTTAAAAGACTGATTATGAATTATTTTATTATTTTTATAAAAGTTGATCAACTGAGTTACGTTTTGGTCATTTGAGTTAGGAATTGAATTTACAAAGAAGGTATTTATAGCTTCTGGATTATCTAAATGGGCGGGTAAGTCAGGTTGTACACTATTTGGAGATAAAAGTTGCTTTAACTCTTTCCAGAGTTGTTTATTGTTAGAATTAATCTTGTGCTTGAAAAAAGCTGCCTTTTCTTGCTTAACCATGAAGTTTACTTGGTTCCTCAAACTTTTGTAATAGGACCAGTCAGTATGCAGTTTAGTTGTCTTAAATTTTTTCAAAGCTTTATTCCGTAAGTTCATTGCAATTTTGATAGTTGTTGTTATCCAAGGTTCATTCCGCTTAGTAACCTTAATAGTTCGAACGGACGTGTAATTATTGACCAAGTGTAACATATTCCAACACAGAAATTGAACCTTATCATTAACATTATCCATATGGAATATATTTTGCCATGGAACTCGTTGCACGTCATTTTCAAATTGCGTCGTATCCATATTGGAAAAATCACGAGTGGTCTTATATATGGCTGGGCTTGAAAGCCAATTTAATCGTGATTACTAATCTGCTTTGCGTTTTAAATTCTATTGATTCGTTTCGGAGATATTCCCATTTGAAATGGTTTTTTCTAAAAAACCAAAACAAACGCGATGTAAGTCACCTTGTATTAAAATTTTATTTTGACGCTTCAATGTGTTTATTAAACTTAAGTGAACCTGTCAGTTCTCCGAAACGAATCAATAGAATTTAAAAAGCAAAGCAGATTAGTAATCACGATTAAATTGGCTTTCAAATAATGTGCCATTTGCCATAGGATTCCATTTAAAATTTTAGGGGTTAAGCTCCCTGTGTGGGGTGAAGACTAGGGTTCGTGATTTGTATTCCAAAAGTTGTCCCCCTCGAATATGAAATTGACATGTTCGAGGATTTTTCGACATTTCTAAATTTAATACCCTAAACGCCCTCTGTATACTTCTCGTTGGGCCACTCTGTATTCCGACTCAGCAGATATTCCACATGGTTTTATCCTAATTTAATACAAAAAGACGGTAATGGCATCAATGTTAAAATTAAAATGTCAAAAAGTTCATCAATTTTAAATGAAAACTCTGCAATTAATCAAGGCTCGATTTATAGTGAAGTGAAGCCAATATAACTACAACTTTTGTAGTATGCAGTCACTTTCCTCCAGGAACAAAAGATATAAAGAAATCGAAGGACCCCGAGCACATGATAGAAATGCACATAACCAATCTTTGTCTGAGTTGATGCAACAACCATCTCAAGAAAATGATCTCGATGCTTTTTCAGTTAAATTAGAAACGTACAAGCAAACTGTTCGAGTGTTGAAACGGATCCCTCAAGGTGCTTGCGCTAGATTTTACTTATTTATTTATTTATGGATAGAACAACTCGTATATTTCAACTTTATTAGGTACCTCTGGCATTGTACACTCGTTAATTAAGTGTTTAGGTACTGCAGGATGGATAGTTGCATTGTATCTATAGAATCGTAAAAACATTATGATGATGTCAATAAGTACATGCTGTCATTTGGCTTTTTAAATTCCCCGGCCTTAAGTCGACCGCCATAGGAAACACCATCCACGAGTTCTAGCTTTGAATCCCAGTATATTCTCGCACTATTAGAACGTTGTGCGCGGGTGCACCATCCTGTTGAAACTAACAATTTCCAACTTTGATTTTTTTTTGGTGCCGTATGTCCGTTGTATTCGTAATAAAAAATTGTGCTCAATACAGTACGTACTTATTTTTATACTTAATCAATGTACTTTTACTAACTTTTTGGAATTATTGCTGCTTTACAAGGAGTAAAAGGAAATATTTAGTCGAAGAGAGGCGCAAAAGAAAATTACATATAAGCTCTCTAAAACAGATTGGAGTATAACTTTAAAAATCTTTAAGAAAATTTCATAATATAGAAACCCAATAAACTAGATGTGAGTAATTAATGTTGAATTGCAATTAAGTGATAGATAATTAAAATCCAGTGCTTATATCTGAATATTTCACTATGTTGCCATAGTCTCCTATAAATTTGCACTAGGTTCAATTATAATGGAATCGAGAAGTTTGTAATTACGGAAGCAATAAGTTTTGGCGAAAAAACCTTTACAGTTTTACTCCTGATCGAAGTAAATAAAGCTATTTCGCCTTTATAAAAATACTCAAGACTGTACTTGACTCGTTTTAATTGCAAAAAGTACATTCCGCAACTTAAAACTGATAATGCTCTACCCGCTTAAACGTTTTTCAACACCCGGGATTTATTTTTAATTAAAATTTCTTACTGCAAAGGATTTAAATTGAGGCACGAACAAAAAAAAGTACTTAAATCTATCTACCTAATTATTTAAATAAGCGCATTGTGAATAATGAAATAAATTAAGAAAAAAGTCGCGATTCCCATCAATCGATAATGAGTTGAGCTAAAGCAAGTTTTTATATCGATTATGACTCTCTTGGGATTAAATCTCACACAACATATAAATGTCAATGCAAAACCTTATGATTTTTCCTAATTAGCCAATTACGTCCTTTTAGAATGCCACAAAACGTATATTTACCTATTTTAGGAGAGGCAATTACGATAAATTGCCGGTTTGCATTTACAGTATTATCTCATGTTTCAATTATAGTCAAATATCTCAAATACTACGATTATAATTAATAAACCGCAGCAGTATGAAGCTTTTTAATTACACAAAGCTTTCTCAGTCGTTCGCAGTTTTTTAAAATGTAGATAATTAACGTAGGTAATGGTGATTCAAAGAAATGATCGGTCTGTATAGTGTATAGATCACCGATTGTCTTTCTTTTGCTATAGATGGCCCTTTCACACTGTCGGCGACTACACAACAAGTCTAAAAATTGGGGTCATACAAGTCATAAAGGGTAGTCTCATTATTTGGCAAGAATTTTTTTAATTTATAACAAGGGTGAGTAGTATTTAAGTAATGTCCTGACTTTTTAAGTGTGCGTGCATTTTAAGTTAAGGCGCCTTATAGTCGTGAGATACGACGTAATTGTCTATGGTTCCATGATAATTAACGTGGACTAAATTTATAGCTGTCAAAAGAGCTTTTTCCCTGGTTTTTTCATTGAAAAAGGGGTTCGCGTCAAGTGTTAGAAACGTAAAGGAGTGGGGAAATGGTTGTTCTCGAAGAGCATTCGCGGGGTCAAGTCAAATAGTAAAAAACCTTCACCAGCTAAATACACGTTGTAAAAGAATATTGTTTGGAACTCCTGAGTGTTTAGTGAGTGTATTTGATTTCAGATAGCACTCCCACCACTTCAAATTAATGTTTTGGCATAGTTTGAGATGAATAGCTGTTACGTTTTTCAATTTAAATATACGCTTATTTGATACTCTTAGCCACCTAGAGATTACCTTTGTAATGCGGTTAGTTACGATGTAACATATTCCTGTAGTAGATTTGTTATTACTTTAGTTCTTTATTTTCGCCGTTAAAGGCCATCCGAGTGTTATAAGTTCATTTTACAATAGTTTCTTTTATTTTCACCGTTAGAGGTCTTCTTTTCTTTTCTACGCGGTGAAGATTTTGCCTTTATATTTATTGAATGGTAATTAGTTTTCTTCGATACGCCATTACGTTTACGTGACTTTGTGTACTTAAAAAGGGATTACATTACTGTTGTATAGAAATATAGTTATTTCTATTTCCTGAAGTTAAAGTCACGTTTATGCTTTTATACACTGATTCGTACGGACAATCCGCTTTTGTCTATGTAACTTAAATGGAATTATTGATTCTTATTGAGTATTAATTACGGTTTTAGTATACGATTTGCCCGAGTGTCAGACGTTAGACATTGTTATACCGCAATATTTTGTGCCGCGCTATTCAATACCCCTCTTGTTTATTTGTTTGTGTTGTTATCTGTTACAGATAAGGCAGAAAGCTCCCTTCGCAGCTAACAAGTCGGTTACAACAACAGAATTTTTATTAATTTTCGGCGAATCCTTGATATAACGTTTGATTGCATACTGGTTTTCGATACGATCGAATTCTAATTACTACATTTGATATTCATTTAAAAGTTCCGTTGTTTTCTGCAAAAGCCTGTTTTGATTTTAATTTTTTCTCTGGCTACGTGTTAATCGCCTTTTTGCTGGAAAATGATTTAAATTTAATTTACATTTTTAGATCTAGATATTACAGTGTCATATTTGTAATATTTTTCAATCCTTTATGTTTATGTTATATCCCTGTTAATTATTTTATTTTTTAGCTTCTGAAGACCAGAATAATAAGATCTCTTAGTCTGCCTTGTTCCCCATTTCGGTAAGTATCCTCTCTCCTAAGTGGCGCCTATCCGGTTTAGTACTATCCTATATTTCCTTTTTGCTTCATTTTTGCTAGTGTACAAAAACCCCGTTATTCACCCCGATCCACCTCTACTTTGCCTGAGAATGTTGTTACATTTGCTCAAAGTGAACATTACAGACTAACTTGTGCCCGATTCGTAAACAAATTTTCGTCTGAATTTCGAATTTTCATCTCTAACAAAACACGTTAAAACAAATGGAACTTTGCGGAACTAGAAAAACTTCTGTTTTCGACTACGGTCTAATTTGTTCCCACAAACATTATCTGTTTAAACCTTTTTTTAATGAAAAAAGTCAATTTTTTACTTAATTGTGCTACGTGTTTAAGCCACCATTTTAGACTTACCATGAAAACCAAATCAAATGAACCTACCGAAAATTTGAAAAAGTTGTGTTTAAAAATTGGTCCTGCATTTGAAATACAAGTTCCTCAAATCTGTTTTTCAAAATTCCAGAAATTATATCGCAAAGTCAGTTAATATTGGAATTTTTTTACGAAATAGTGTTTCTGTGTGCGAATTGGTCCACAATGTAGACTTTCCCGAAGGATCCATTTAAATTAGAATTTTTAATGGAAATTGAAACAAGTAAAAAGGGGGATGGATTAATTAACATATTTATTTAAGTATTCAAACATCTATGAATAAAATAAAATAAAATGTCTGAATTTTACAATATGCGATATGTTTGCCTTTACTACTAGCTCTGTTTTTAACATTTCCAAAATGTATCTATAAATTAAAAAGCAGCGCATGCGTAGGTACATCTGATTTTGCTATGTGGGATATGTTTGCCTTTACTAGAAGCATCAGCTAAACTTGCAATCAAATATATTAATAATTGCGCACGCAGATTAATCGTCATGATTTTTCTTGTGTCTGGTGCCAGAGCTATTATTACAGTAAAATTAGGTTTTGATCGGTACATTTATAATTACTAAGCGAGACCTTTTGAAATACCTATGGAAAACTGGAATTTTCCTAGGGCAAAGCTGGAATGGGTTTAGAGCGACGGCGAGAGGCTATTTTTAAATACTACTCGTATATTATCCATCGATCAGTGAGAAATGTACTGATATTATTACAATCAAGCCAATAATAAACCGATACAACGGAATATCGAAGG